CTGGGGCACCCTGAATGAAGGAAAACTAGAAGCAGTGGCTCTAAGAGAGATGGCCCATGACCTTTAGGCTGTTGTATAAGGAGCTGCTTTGCTCAGCCAACCTTTTCTATGGCACACCCTCCAGCTCAGCTCGCTTCTGTCTGCTATTCTGTATCTATCAGTTCCCAGTGCTGAATTCCTTTTGACCAGCCTGGAGATCATCAGTTTTCACAACACCTTTGAAAACAGTTGCTCTTCTCAATTTTTTTTTTTTAATAGAACTGGATCAAATGCAGTATCTCAAGAAGCTGATTACTTTACCTAATATTTGTAGGTATTACATCCAAGGACTCAGGGAGAAGGAAGGGACTTATTTAAAATGTTTTGTGCCCTTACTCTATAAACACTTACAAAACATGAATGTTAAGTTTTTTTAAAAGTGTAATTTTAGGTTTCAGGTAGGGTGGAAGGGAGAGATATTTCCAAGTGATAATCAAAAGTAACAAACAGTTGACTCTTCTGCTTGCATTCTCCATGAACGTTCCCTTCTGAAGTGACTGCTGGTGTAATCACAGAATGTCTTCTGTAACTCTTCAGAAACTACAGTGAACTGCATTACATTTCACAAACGTAGAACTTCCAGTCATGATGGGATTTTCAAGAACATACCTGGTAAAAAAATACTGATTCTTTACTCTCAAAGGAGTTCTTTGTCCATGTTTAAGTAACTGCCGGGATAAGTGGGGACCAGTGAAGAAAATTTGTTCTATAAATACAGGATGTTTTTCAGAGCTGGGAAGGCTTTTAAAAAAATTCTAACCTAAATCTGGGGAGGTGAGGATACTTACCACCAAGTTCTGTACCTACCATCTGGATTGTGGCTCCAATCCCACCATTTTCTCATCACATAAATGGAAAAGGCAAACTGCATTCACTTTCTTAAGCTGAAGTTCTAGTCTTCATTCCTGTTTTCTCATAATGCCTTTCGGCATTCGTGTCAGAATTGCAACTGTATATACGTTGTTGAAAGGAAAAAGTGGCAGTAGGAAACATAACATTAGTTTTGACTAGATTATGTGAACAAGAATACTAAACAGGATGTATTCAGTGATATTTGTTCCCTCTAAAAAAAAAAATTAAAGAATTGGGGGCTTGTTTTAGTTGTAAAGCTCAACCAGTTTATTTTCTGAAGAGTCATTTTTCCCCCCCTGGATTTTTGTGACTAAAAGATGACAAATTTGGAAGGAGCAGAAAAGGTCCATAGGGGTGTTAATAAACTTAAGTAGGGAAAAAAATCCCTCTGAGAGATTGGCAATATCATGACTCAGGTGATTGTGAGGTTTTGCAAAGTCCACTGATCACACATGCCAGCACTAGCTTACCATCATCTTCCTATGACCATTCGTTTCCTTGTAACTCCACTGGGTGTGATATGCAGTGTCCAAGATCATCTATCATTTTGTTGGACTTCTTCATAGCCCCTTGTTTCCTGGTTGAGTTATTTATGTAACATTATTCCACATGGGAAAGCCCAGCTGTTAAAGTTTTAGAATCAGGAGTAAGAACACATTTTTATTAGATCTTTCATCTTGTCTACAGTGTGTTTTTCTTGGTTTAAATAATGATAACAGCATGCTAGTTCCTCCACTGTAACTTATTCCCGGGTGCATGCTTTTGGATGGGAGAATGCCCTTTTGTACTTCTGGGTTCCAGAAGGGGGCTGATATCAAACTAAATAAGAAATCAATATGTGTGTATAATGATGCTGAGTTTGAACTCAAGCAATGGGGTGGGTATTGCAAAAGTAAAACAATAGAATTCGGATCTAGACTGATGGAAGCAAGAGGGAGACATATGAGAGAAGAATTTAGAAGATTAGAAAGTTTTGAGATGAAGGAATGCTACTGCTTATAAAAATAGGGAAACCCCAAAAGAAGCATGTTTGGAAGGGAAATTAAAGAATTCTATTTGGCATATATTGTTTGAGTTTCTAGGAGGAATTCCAAGCTGAAGAGTCTTACAGGGCATGAAGATTTTGTCATGTGTCAATGTGGTTATGCTGGACCACATTTCCTAGAATTGCCTTCCTTATAAGGTTCTGGTTAGTATGAACCACAGGAGAGTCCTGAGTGAAATTTGTTCAGCAGAGGTGAAGCAGCATTTGTGGTAGTTCATAGTGACACAGACCTGCTGACTAATATTATTATCATGAGGCAGGTATGGGACTGCAACTAACTCTACTTTGCCCTGGATCCTCCAGCTGTTCTGACTCCTGGGCTATGTGTGTTTAGCTCCAAGATGAAGGATTCTGACTTCTTTCTGCAGGACGCCCACAGAATAAAGATTAGAAACAAAAACAAAAACTGACAGGGTTCAGTTTACCCTGAAACTTTTACCCTTCCTTTTTCAAAGATTGTGGAGTTTTAATCTAACATTAGACACAAAGGCTGCAGCTTTATAGACCAGACCAGCTCTTAAAGTTGTATAAGGTCAAATCCTGCCTGATTTTCTTTCCAACTTAAACTTTTCAATGTCGCACTCAGTACATTTATTCTCTATGCTAGTTTTCTTTCCATTTATTCAAGTTGCAAGGTCTGTCCTGCCTCTGTTCTTTGAAAACTTCCTTCTTCCTCTTTGCTCATGTTCTTAATCTGCAGTGGGTCTTAGTCTAACCATCAACTTTATGGATTGGTCTTCCTGACCATGACATTCAAATCATTATTCAGGTTTGTTTTCTTCAGAGTTCTTACTGCAAGTTGTGTATGCTCTCCCTAATTTTGGCTAGTCTGTCTCCACTAGAATCTAGGTTCTATGAGCTGTATCTGTCTTATTCCACACTGAATACTCTGATTTTGCACTGTCTGGCACATGACATCATTTCTCAAAGAATTCATCTAGGAATAGAATGGGAGATATGAAGGACTCTACCTTGTAGGTCAGATATGACAGAGAAATTAATTTTCCATTCTTTGGAAAGCTTGCAGTTTAACCTGAACTCTTTGTTTTTCATGATTGCTCAAGTTAATGCTTATTGATTCAGGGACTACCAATAGTATTTAACATGAAATTTCTGTTACATGTTAACAGATTTGATTAGACTTCCATGAAAATACTTGTGATGGGAATCCTGAAAAATAAAAAACAATTCAACTACCATTATGGATCTAAAACCATCATTATTATTTTGGTCTCTGATTCACTTAAATGTTAAGAATGATTAACACACTCACAGATCTGAACATTTACTTAGTTAAAACTAAGTTTTTTTAGAAAAACTCATCCAACTTTATCAGCCTATGTGTGCTTTACAGCTTTTAACTGCATATTGTCAACTTTAAAACTATATTTTACAACTCAAAATTCTCTCATCGCTTTCCAGGGTTTACTCGAAGTCCTCTTTGTGTCTAATATTAGTAAATCAGCAAGCTGATTGGTGGTTCCAAAAGGGATACAAGAATTTATACGATTGAAAACTGTTAGTGTTTATAAAAATAAGGAAGTTCAGAAGGAAAAATAGACTTAGAAGTTTTCTCTTTGGCATGAGTCTGAGTTGCTGGGAGGAAATGAGGCTGAAGGGTCTTAGAGGGTGTGATGACCGTCAGGTTAACATGGTTAGCCAGTACCACATTTCCTAGAATTGTCTCTAAGATTCTGCTTAGTGTGGACTAGAAGAGTTTTAGGTGAAATTTGATAGTATTCCTATCAAATAAAATCAAAAGAAAAACACCATTTTGAAAATCAGTATTTTCCTAACTTTATAATTTCCAAGGCTCAATCTTCTCATTTCATCAAGATACGTGACACACTGAATTAGTTCTCAGTGCACTCTCTATGCTTTGTTCCCTCTTGCAGTAGCCTTAAATGTGGATACTACAAAGATTCTTTGATACTGGCCTTCTTGAAATCCTGTCTTAAAATGTTTAAACATTTTAATGCCTTCGAACATTACTTTTTCAGTATATAACCTAAAATGAATAGTTGGCCAAGTATGTTAAAATGGCAGATAAATTACAGGTTTTCACACTTTGGGGAACGTGCCCTAGATACTATTTGCTCCTAGACCATTCTCTTTGTGAAATAAAGCTCAAATAGTAGTTTCCAGATATTACACAGTTCTTTAATGTTCTCATCCTCTACAAACGTGTGAAGTAACTTACTTTTATTTTCAGTATTTATGCTTTTGACTCCCTGCACACCCAGATGATTCTGTAGTGGTGGATACTGATGTAAAACCACTGAAATGAAGACAAATTTTGTTTTCCTGGGTGTTAAGTTCAATGGTTTAAAGCAAAGTTTTTTTGACTTAAAAAAAAAAAGAGTAATTTTTCCTGTAAGGTTTTGTATCAATTGACAGTTATAATGGAACATGAAAGTTTACAAATATACACTGAGGAAACAACTTATCTTCCTATTCATATCTGAATTATTTTTTTGAGTTCTAAACCTACCTAAAAACAAAGTTGTAGAGATTCATTTGATAAGGTAAAATTTTTCTAGTAATTTGTTTAATAAAATTTGTGTTGATTCAATTCTGGGGAAAAAGTAGTACTTAGAAACCCTGATGCAATGGACAAATCTTTTTCAATAAGTAGTATATACTGGCTAAATAATCTCTGATGGATACTCCTCACAAGCAAATTTTGGACATAGAATGACAGCTCCTTGCCAGAATGTTTGGGTATCTGAAGGCTCTTATTTGAGGTCAAAATTAACTTGTCAGTAATTAGTAACTGTCACTTTTACTAAAAACCAGATTTCAACTGTCTCTGGTAGAATTCAAGATTTCATATCCAAAGCAAACCACCCAATTCACTTAGGCTGCTAGAAGAAAAAGCAATGAGAGATTGTACAGTTTTCAGATAAAAACCAATAGAAACACTAGTTCCCCAAACCACTTGGCCAGCCATGAATTAAAATATAAATTAAAATAGAAAATTTCTTCATCCCTGTGACAACATCAATTTTTTAACTTTTAAAAACTCTTTTCATCATTCTGGCAAAAAGACAACACTAAGAGGCTCTTGAAAGTTCACTTTAATTTTTATTACACACCAGACATATGAACTAACCAGAGATTAGGATGAGTATCTCTATACTCTTAAAAATCACAGGACATATATCTCTTCCTTTTCCTAATATTGAAGTAGCATTTCAGATTATTTTGGGATTAGTCTGGGCAAAGTAAAAGAAATCATGGGAAGGCAGTATATGATGTTGGAGGTACTTTTCAGAAGCTATTAGTGATTTGCAGATTATCAAGGTTGAGTAGTACTCACAATGCTAATATTAGCTACATATTTTGAACATTTATTGTTAGTGGATGGATACCAAGGAAGTGAAGAGTGGTCCCTAAGAGTCTTCCAGTCTTGTTTGAGCTTAAGATTTAGTGATTTCTCAAAAGCTTGATAAAAGCGCAAGTCCCTGCTTACTGGAAATATTTTCTGGGCATCAAGACAGTGTAGTCACCCTAATTTCTTGGGGAGATGTGTGCTTTAACATCAGGGATGCTTTTGGCATGGAGTACAAGCTTCTGAAAATACTAACCTAACAGGTTATTGTCTCTAGCTACCTTCTTCTTGAAGGAGTTTTGTATTAGGCAGGAGGGAAAACATATTCAACTTCAATTTTGAGGTAGGTGATGGATAGGAATGAGAAAAATAAAAGATCCTTTAGGATTTAACATCTGTCCAGCTTTTTGGTTTCTGTCTTAATACTCTGCAGTGGGCACAAAAAACTAGGTATTTATTTATATCTTCATAACACCACTGTGCTCTTGCACCACACTTTCAAGTTCAGCTTTTCTACTGCTCTTCTGAAAAGAAATTCACATTCTGACAAAACTGTCACCCTCTTTAGTGTCTTATAAATAGATCCTGGGACTATCTCAGTAACTGTTATCCATTATATACATAACTTCATTTCTTACTACATTTTGACTACAGAGAAGAAACTGAGTACTTATCGCTTCTATTTTCAATAATCTAACATATGCATTCTATAAATGCTTTTTGACACATGAATATTTTATTTACAAGTGTTAAATCTTTTTCATAAAAGGAGGCAGAGATCTGTTTGTTTTTTACTTTGTAAACTTGGAAAACCTATTTCAGTCAAACCTGTTTTGTCCTAAAACTAGACTAATCATCTTATTACTAAGATGAAGAAGTCTATTACAAATTACATATTGCTATTTTTCCCAGCATGGAAAACTATTTTGAATGTGAACATGTAAGAACATTCAGGTGAGTGCCTGGAACAGTAGAACAAACTTTAACAAGACACTTTTGGACTTGAATCTCAACTTTTAAGTTTATGGGGGAATTCTATAGACTCTGGCTTTTTGATTGACCCTCTTTTAAGACTGCCCAGAAAGGAGACCTACCCCTGTTGCTAGCACAGCTGAAGCTAACCAGGAACTAAGTGTAAGCACAAAACAAAATCTCAGAGAGATTTTTAAAAGAAGCAAAAGCATGAAATGAAGCTAGGAAGAGCATCTGAACCTAGCATGGTATGAACTTCTGCATGCATCCTAACTTCAAGTTCTGTGGCAAGTCTATGTGACAGATGTAGGGGAGATCTTTTGATGCTTAGGCCAATCTTTAATCTTCTTTTACATCCCACCACCTTCCACCTACTAGTAGGCAAATATCTGAATATTCTGTGGGCTTAAAACCATCTACACTGCCCTTGGGTTAGAAAACAAGATTCAATGGTAACTCCTTGAAAAACATACATTAAAGAAAATGCTAATTGCTTTTCTTCATAGATCTTGTGTCTTTTCTCCACCTCCCAAAGAGCTTGTGTTTCAAAAGGTCAGAATGTTTTGGGTTAGGAATAAGCTGCCTCCCACTCTGTTCAACACCTATACATAGTACAATTTTATATGTTACCACAAAATTTTTTTCTTTTTTTTTTTTTTTTTCAATTTACTGAGCCACATCTCCAATCCTGTTTTGTATTTTATTTAGAGACAGTGTCTCACTGAGTTGTATAGCACCTCACTGTAGTTGAGGCTGGCTTTGAACTTGCGATCCTACTGCCTCAGCCTCCCAAGCTGCTGGGATTACAGGCATGCACTACCGCTCTGGGTACCATAAATTTTCCCAAGAAAATAATTTTTTCCTTTTCTTTCCACCTCCTTCTTGAAAATGCCAAATTAAAATATCTTAGAACTGATTTCTAGAATCCTCTTTCCTTTTTCATAACTAGATTTGTGTTATTAAAAAAAAAAAAAAAAAAAAAAAAAAGCTGACAGAGCTTTTGTGGAAAGTCCAGTTGGCAGCAGAGTTGGACAACACATGGCCACCCAGAAATTAGACCTAGAAAGGTGACTTCTCTGCATGGGTATGCTGACAAGTGTCCTATTTTGGGGATAGCCTAAAGATCCTTGACCTAATACAAAGCCCAAGATGTAGTTCAGAGTAGAAACAATTATCATAACCAGATTGCTTGTCCAAAATAAAATGCCACTTTTAACCAACCACAGACAGGGCAATACATTAGCTGTACTAGATGTTTCCTAGGATTCATTCCAAGTAGTTTAAAGTGGCCTTTAAAAACTGATAGTTTCAAATTCTATACTGTTTCTATAGAAACAGATACTAATAGATTAAAAATAACATCTAATTAATAAACACTACCTACAATGGGGAAATTTTTGGTAAGATTTAAGCTCCTCTTAGCTTGGAAATAGTATGTTAATTTTAGCTTGACCTAAAGAAATGTTAACCATAAATTTATAACTGTCCTCTTGTGAGATCTGTAAGTTATATTCCCAATATTTGTTTTATCGACTAAAAATTAGTCTTCCTTTGATAAAAAAGCTCAAAGAAAGATATTTATGCCATTAGTGTAGATGGTAGATATGAGATCTGTTTATCATCTAAAAAGTTATGAGAGATTCTAATTCAAGTTGGCAGAAAATAAACTAGATTGAAAGTGCTGTATTAAAATAATTAAACAAAAATTCAGTTCATTTGGGGGGGCAACTAAAATAAATGAACATTTTGAAAAGTCAACATTAAAAAGAATAAAAACCACTGAATTATCATCCTACAAATCATTCTGTTTTGTTCTTTTCATTCTAAGAATGTTATCTTTTTCAGAGAACAACAGCTAGCTGGTCCAACTCATGCTTAAGACATATCCATAGTCAATCAGCCTAGTCTAAATCCTCTTATATTAAATATAAACATTTTCCTAGTACTGCTTTTAAGTCACATCCCATTTATCTGACTCCTTAAGAACTGCATGGGCTTATTTTTAAATATTTTAAACACCTGTAATAAACTACAAAATTTGTTAAGAGTAGAGGCACTCTGGTTAATGGTCAAACTCGTATGGCCAGAGGAAAAGTAAGCATTATTGAATATGAATGCAATCCTTACCAACACAAAATTGAACCATTTCTCAATTAAAAAGCTAATCCAAAAAGGTCTCATTCTGTAAAGACTTATCATTTCTAAATCACAGTGAAAGGAACTTGAGTAATTCACCAATTTTGTTTTCTACTATGTGCCTTAAAAATACCCTACTAAAAACTGATATCAGACACAACAGAATGACATTTGCACAAAATGTAATATTGTAGCAACAGTACTGAGGTTGATTGTTACAGACTATTAAACTCTGTGTATCAAATGGTTGTATCTTAGTTATTTATACAGAACATTGGTCCAATAACATAAAAATAGAAAACACCATCTGGAAATTTCTCTCATTCAATGTTCAGAGATAAAAGGGTTAACTATTCTTTCCATTATTTTCTGCAGATAAGTCCTTGTTCACACTGAAGTCTGATGGCAATTAAATTCTGGCATTTTTCCAAGCTACTGTATGAAAAGGATGCTGAAGGCCATCACTACACAGCATACTGCAACATAAGGACTCTTTCGTTCACCTGTTGAAAAAAAGAAGATATTCATTTTGATAAAATGACTAACATGGAAGTGACAAGGCTATTACTATAGGAGAGAAATACACATGAACCAAGATAAAATTCTTGCCTCTGACTCCTACATACTGGGGTAGGAAGGAGAGAAACATAAAAAACATGTCAAATATGGAATGATTTAACCTGTACTGACTTATTTCTGAGACTAACTTCTTTTTAAGTATTTAGAAAACTCTGAAAGTGCCATTTCTATGTCACTGCATTAAGACAAAATATTAAAAAATATAATGCAGGATATGTAGGACAAAGATCCAAGAGAAATGATCTAAGTAACTCAACGAAAGTCAAAGAGTTAATTTTCTTCTTGTAAAAAATAATTTCTACCAATAAAAAGAAATTCACCATACAATATTTAGCCATAATTTTTTTTCCACTGGTAGCAGTTCATTACATGTACAGGAATATGAAGAAGAGGCATTCATGTATTAAAAAAAGGATATAAAATGTATAATAAAAAAACGTAGAGAGAATATTTCTGAGATAGATATTCACATAAAGTCTTTTATTAGGTGAGTATCCCTTGTCTGAAATACTTGAAATAAGAAGTATTTCAAATTTCAGATTTTGGAATATTTGTATAGACTTTACTGTTGAAGCATCCCTAGTCTAAAATCCTTAAATGCTCCCAAATCCCAAACTTTTTGAGCATCACCTCTGTGCTCAAAAAAATTTCAGATTTTGGAGCATTTTGATTTTCAGATAGGGATGCTCAATCATAGTCTGATTACTCAGGATCAGAAATACCTAATTTCAATTTCCACATTGTTTGAGGAGTATTTATATTTGAAGACTTTCCTTTGCATGATGTGTACCTGAAGCTGGCTTGGGAAATTACCTTGCAAACAGATCCAGTGATAGTAAGTTAATTCAAATTCATCTTGACTTTTTCTGTTTCTTTAGTAACTGCAAGGCTGTACTAGTTCATAATACACTAGGCATAAAAACAAAGGAAGGGGGAAGAAATCACATCTAGAAATAATCCTGAGCTATACCCAATGTCCTTTAGTAGAGATGGATTACAATTCCCTCATTTGTATTTTTCTATCACGTTTACAGTCAACTCTTGCCCAATAACCAAGTTCCTTTCTTAATCTAGGAAGTTCAGTTAACTAGCACTAGAAAATGTCAGTCTTGATCTCTCTTACTAACTAAAATCCTCAAGGCCATTTCCATTTTCAGAGTTTCCTCATCAAGTTCACACTGCCATACTATCAGTAAGTTTATATCTTTGGGCCTGTTCAATGACAATAGTTATAAAAATATTACACATATATACAAAAGCCAACATTTGGTATTTTTCTGAAAGTGGTTTTATATTCACAGACATTTAATGGACTGCCTTCCATTTAAAGGAAAACCCAGAACGTGAGAAAAATGTTTTTTACTGTACCATCACTTCAACTGAAAAATTTTTTTTAAAACTATAAAATATATTGGATCATAATTTTAAACAATGCTAACATTTTTAAGGTAAAAAAGCCAAGTCATTACACAAAACAAAAACACCTCCTTCTTCCAGAGATTTCAGGAGGATTTCATAAGCAAGTCTGTCACTTATTAGGGCCACTCTCCTTGTTTAGGACAGTCTTATTAAACACCTAAAGGAAGCAATTAATTCTGATCTAAGTTTTCCATCTGCTGAAAATTATTTTTTTAGGAAGTTCTTCTCTTCCTAATCCTCTGACTTAGAATGGTATAATTTACATATGGGTTTCATTTTCCTGTTTTTAATTTTCTTAAAAGAGATTGCCATCTGGTAGAGTTAAACATCTCTGGTTGAACTTGGATAAGAATGTTACTTCTTGTCTGGTCTTAGGTCTGTGTAAGTGAATGTGAAACAGTTGCTGTAATGTGATGTGTAACATGATCAGATGATTTGGCTAGGTCTTTTCCCATTAAACAGCATCCTTTCTTTGTGGATATATTGTGTGTCAAAAAAAGAAGAGCATGTGCTTGAGAAAGCAGCATATAACATCAACATTTTCAAAGCTACTTTGCTAAAATAAAAAGCTAATGTTTTCCACAACTGGCAAGAGGAATACTTTTAATTGACCCATTCAACCTATAGCCAAGGGAGGAAAATAGAAATAAGAGCAAGCCAAGACAAAAATTATAATTACATATTAAAATTATAAAATTATAATTAGACATAAAAATAGATTATAGGAGATCATTAATAAAGCTACAAACTATATTTCTTCACCTTCAACTATACTTTCTTTAGGCAATTGTGAACAGAAGTGTCACTCAGGCTGGCTACTGAATGGAGCTATACACATTTTTCTAGTTTATTACATAAAATAGACTTAAAATGCCTTAACATTTTCTTTATAAGTTAGCAATTAAACAATACAATTGAGATGGAACTTGGTCTAATTCCAGACCCGCTTTTCCATTGTTTTCTTTTTTTGCAGTTTACTTGAAGTATTCTTATTACTCCATTCCTTGGCAATGTTTTTATTTCTTTTTCAGGAAGATTGCCTCTTCAGCAAGCAGTTTGGTTTAATATATTTACATTAACCATTAGATATTAGCTATTAGCATTAACTATCAAGGGTGATATTTTCTCTCTATCTTTGTCTTCTGAGTTTTCTTTGAAGTGCTTAAGACTTTTTTTTTTTTTTGTTATTTCAGGGTTTGCAGCTGTCGTGAAAGACCGAGTGCCAGATAAGTATGCACCACAGATCTCTGTAAATCTAGGCCAGGCCTTCTCAACTCCAGCATTACAGAATCTTGGCATGCATAGTTCTGTTGTGAGGGGCTGTCCTGCACACCCTTGGATGTTTAGCAAGATCCTAGACTTACACTCACTGTATGTCTCCTATTCTGCTTTTGACAATTAAAACTTTCTTTAGACAATGCCAAATGTTTCTTAATAACCACTTATCTAGGCTACATCTGTGCTTTTACTAATTTAAGGTCAATGCTATTTCTTACAAAAGATCCTCATGCCTGACTTCCTAAGAGAGAATACAGTATGATCAGAGAAAAGGCAACTTAACATTTAAAAGCACATTGAATATCCTGGAAGATAATGTCAATTGCAAAAGTTACTATAGTATATGAGGGCCTTTATGCTTATACTATCATTTTCTACAAACTTGAGAGGCCAGGGAATATCATAATCTCATCATCACAGATTTAGAAAGGAATTCTGGATAATTTAGTATGCTTACAACTTATGGAAGTTGTTAGTGGGGTCTTGCCTATCATTAAACATTCAATAGAGAAAAAACTGTTGTGAAATTAGTTCAATGGTTAACATATGAATTTGGAAGAAGTGCTAAAGACTTCAGATACATTATATTGATTCCCAGATCATCTTCAGAAAAATTTGGTAAGTGGTATGAGAACTTAGTTTATATGTTTCCATCTCTAATAATTTTGTTTCAATCTTATAAAATTTCTGCATCTCCATGGAGATGAAAATCAAAGTAAAACACAATATTCTAAGGGGAACACAGTTTATCTGAGGAAATAACTTTAAATTCCCCAGCCTGTTTACTAAAGTTATATATTTGAGGCATCCAGGCTGTTGTTAGGCTGGCTAACTAGATTAAATATCTAATGCAGAAAATTCTTCTGCATTATGAAAGTACACAGCTTAGTGAAATTAAAAAGTAGGTACACATATATTCAATGTTAGAAGAAGAGTAATAAAATTTTTTTGGTTTGCATATAATCCCAAAAGGGTAATATTCATTTTCTATCCAAGTGTTGTTAATTAAGTACAAATTCAAATGCCATGGAATTTTTTTTTTTTTTTGAATCAGGCATGTTAAAAAAATGGTATAATTTATTATTCAACCATTTTGAATTTTCTAATCATTTTGAGTATACTATATGATGTGTGTAGTGATATTTTATATACATATGTGAGAATGGGATAAGAATTTAATATTATTTACATATAGAAACATACAAGTTTTGAATTATCTTAAGCTTTTCATTAGATGAGAAATCCATCCTCTTATCAAAATGGTACATAAGATACAGAACACCATGCTCTATACTATGAATATGTGTATATAAAATTATATATACATTTATTTAAAATCTCAAAATTAGGGATGCAAGATATTTGATATCTGAATTAGAGTGACTTTTCTTCTATTTTTTTAAATGTAGATGGACACAATACCTTTACTTTATGTGGTGCTGAGGATTGAACCCAGTGCCTCATATGTGCAAGGTGAGTGCTCCACCACTGAGCTATAACTCCAGCCCCTCTCTTCTATTTTCTAACTCCCTATTAATGAAATATTATGAAGTATTAATGAATCTAGTTTTAAATAGCATAAAAAAAAGAACTTGGAGCTCTACAAATTTTTGCAAAACTGCATGTAATTGGGAAGTCTGCACTTTTAAAACTGACATTTGACTTTTGTGAGTATGACACAAGTAAACTGATCAACATTTATAGCTGAAGAAATGAAGAGAAATCATAGACACTTACCAATTCTGGCACACTTCCAAAATATTCCCAATAGTCTGCACAGAATAAAAAAAAGTGGCTATTGATTACTGGGAAGTGTTAACTCATCCTGTCAATATCATATAGAAAATTAATTATACACTGTCATTTTAACACTTAAAACTCAGCTTCAAATCTGAAATCTGCTTGTTTGATGCTAAGCCACCATTTATGTATCAAAATAGGACACAATAGCATATCAACCATTAGTGGATAATGTTATGAATTAGAATATAGGTAGCGTAATAAGTCAAAACCAGTGTAAATTAATGTGAGAGTGGTAAAAGTTTGCATAAGGACTTCTTGTACTGATTCAGTCAACTTTATTCAAGTGCTTTACCACCTTCAAAAGCAGGGAAAAAAAGGAAAGAAAAGCAGAAAATTGCTCAATGGTGCATGCTTCTAATCCCAGTTATTTAGAAGGCTGAGGAGGGAGGACTGCAAGTCTGAGGCCAGCCTAAGTAAATCAGGAAGACTCTGTCTCAAAATTAAGATATTAAAAGGGCTGGGGATGCAGTTCAGTGGTGGAGCACTTGCTAGCACATGCATGATGCCCTTGTTCAATCCCTAGTACCACCAAAAGAAAAAAAAAGGGTAGAAACTTTGACAATTTAAGTATTAATTTTGAAAAAATGATACATAAACATAGGTTTTCGCTGAATTTTGACATTTATATAAAAATTTCTTATAGAATACTATAATTAAATAATCTATAATCATGAACTGCAGTGATACTGCTTACCTATGTCATTCAATAAAGGGAAATACAGTATATAGCAGTTTTTTAAAAAAATATTTCTTAGCTGTTTTTAATGAAAGACAAAAGTATGTAGCTTTTTTTAATTTAGGAAAAAGTTTCAGAGTTTAGGAGAAACTAAGTATGAGTTCACTAAATATTACCTTTAAAACACATATTCCATAAATAAGAACTGGAATGAAGGTGTTCTTTTCAACTCCATGAATAATTATAAATTAAATACATATAAATGGATACATTATTTATTTGACACATACAAAAAAGGAACAACTTTGAAAAGAATAAAGCAACTCTAACATCAATGAACAGAGATATCTAAAAAATAAAAATAAAAACATGGTAGACACTATTTTGCTGGTCTGACAAGACTAGAATTATAAATAGAATTACATGTGGTACAAATTAAGATAAACCAACAATATTTTCCCCTATAAAGACTGACTCAACAAAATCACAATACTTAAATTTCAGGGAAATTTATATGATACTTTTTTTTGGAATAGACAAATGGCTGGTGAATGAATCATTATATCTTAATAGTTAGGATTTTAAAAAATACTAAAATATTGGTTCAATTAATTCCCATATATGTTCTTCCTCCAAAAGTGTAACAACTTCCTGACCTCAAAGCATAGTCTCTCAGTTCATTTTAAATTAATGAGCAAAAATTTTATTATTTTATTTAAAAAAGTTTATTTCAAAAGATGGACATTCTGAAAAGTAAAACAAATTTACTGTAGGAATGAAAGGACAGTAACATTTCTGAAAGACACATTTCTGAAAGGAAGATAAGCTAATGTAAAAGGCTAGACTGTATTCAAATTTAGTCCTACTTACTGATGCATAACAGTGGGGAGGTTATTTATTCTCTTTAATATTAGCATAATTACTCTCATGGAGTTGTTTTCAGGAAAAAATGAGGGATTATATGGAAAGTCCTTATAATAGTGACTAATATGCTGTGTTTAGTAATATACAGGCTAAAGGCACATACGACACTAACACTAGACATTAATTAAAATTGGCTAACCAATCCTTAAAAAACAAATGCCAAATGTCTTCTTTGATATAAAGAGAGCAACTAAGATTAGAAAAGGGAAGAAGAGCATGAGGAAAAGATTAACATTAAACAGAGACGAGTGGGGGGGGAGAGAGAGAAGGGAAACTGTATGGAAATGGAAGGAGACCCTCATTGTTACACAAAATTACATATAAGAGTTTGTGAGGGGAAAGGGGAAAAAAAAAAAAAAAACAAGGGAGAGAATTAAAAAACAGCAGATGGGGTAGAGAGGGAAGATGAGAGGGAAGGGGAGGGGGGATAGTAGGGGATAGGAAAGGTAGCAGAATACAACAGTCATTAATATGGTATTATGTAAAAATGTGGATGTGTAACCGATGTGATTCTGCAACTTGTATTTGGGGTAAAAAATGGGAGTTCATAACCCACTTGAATCAAATGTATGGAAGATGATATGTCATGAGCTTTGTAATGTTTTGAACAACCAATAAAAAAAAAATTGGCTAACATTTCTTCATCAAAACAGAAGAAAAACAAGCTAAGCATATGTAAAGCCATATAGGTTCCTTGATTCTAAAAGCCGATTGATCACAATACCACTAATAATTTAAAGCTACTCTGGTTGAAGAGGTAGGCTGAAGTGCCTGGAGCAGGTTATCTGAAGCTCCTCCAAGACCCTCCATGGAAGAGTTTCAGCTGGCACTCCAATGAACATAGTCAGAAATCATTATATCACAGAAGCCATATCTTTACAAGTCTTATGTTCTAGAATAACAAAGTATCATCAAGAAAATGATTTTGGATTTTTCAACGTATTTCTCTACCTAGATATAGTTCTGCAATATCACAAGCATTTGTTAAAAAAATAGGAACTATTAAAATAGTTGATAAAAACTTAGTGTTATGGCTGTACATCAGTAAATAAATCTGTTGATATAGCTATAAGTTCAATAAAACTAGGAAAAAGATAAGTAGCAATGTTTTACTGCTGCTTAGTTCTGTATTATTTGAAGCAGCAAAAATGAAGTTATTTAAATAGTGCAGTTATCAAGAACCTGCTTTATCCAATCTGTCTAGACATCTCCACCTAAACATGGTATATATAATAAAGAAAAGGTGATTATGAATCTCATAAAAAACATGTAATTGTAACAGAAAGGGACAGTCTGTAAAAATTTCTTCTAAGGAAAACACATGTACAAATCAAAATAGTGCTTAACATTTATAAAGAAGAAACAAGGACTTTCAGAAAACTTTTGAATAGTAGACTGTATTAATCTAGACATTAAAATGTAAAAACAGGAATGCCTTTTTTGGGTTCTTTATGTTGGAGAAATATACTACCACTCAACCTCTACTGTAAGGTTGGCAGCCCTGAGAACTCCTTTGTTAATGTAGCATGTTATGGATACATTTCTGCACCTAAAGCATTGAGGGGCAGACATTTCCACATGCAAACTTTCTTCTGAAAGAAAAATTTCATAATAGGACCAGAAAAGTACAAATAGCCTATTGTACTATTATGTGCCTATTCTTTTAGTGACACGAATTCTTAATATTTTATTAGGTAGATATTATGTATTATATTAGAATTCTCAACACCTATGAGAATAAAGTGTTGAATAGTAAGTGCAATAGGAGTTCAGAGAAAAGGGCAGAATGGAGATGACAATGTGTACAAAGAAGATAGGACATTGTCATAATAGCTGATGGACAATTAATGTTTCCATCTTCAGTAGGTTAAACAAAATCCCTCAAATACATTTTTTTAACAGGTTAAATTTCAGGTCATACTTCAGATCACTTGTGAAATTTATCTTGTATTTAGTAAGATACTGTAAGTATAAAGTTTTGGATTTTTAAAGATAGGGAGAAAATATAAAAAGTGATTATAAACTAAACTACAAACAGAATTAAATTATCTAATGACTTTCATGGTAATTTACATTCAATGTCTGTAAGATCAGACATCATTAGTAACATACCCAGTTTTATTTCTGTCCAGGAGGCTGGGTGCCAAGGACCGGATATAAGCACAGGTACATATAAGCAGCAAGATTACAGTCAACAGACTCTGAAAATTGAAAATGGCAGACTAAAAAGAGAAAAAAACAAATTAATATCACAGGAAAAACTGTCTAAATAAGACATGCCAGACAAATACTTATTAAAACTCATGCTTTTAATTCTTCAACAAGGCAAACAGAATGACATGTCTGACAACACATAAAACCAGAATTATGAACTGTTCCACAGGTGCATATTCCTCTGCATTTTTTGGGCTAACGAATGCAGGAGACGCAACAGAAACTGTCAATTCCAAAACTTGTAAAATTTTGTAATTCAAAATAGCTGATCACAGCAAATCAATATGTAATAAACACAGACATTCTAGACAGAACACCATGGTCTCCAAGCTCTTCCAGTAGCTAGCCATATGATCAGTGAAATAACTGGTGTAAATTTCGGTTTTAAATCTGTAAAGCTGGGGGAGATTGGGGAAAAAAGATTAAATGTTGACTAAAGCTTCTTTCAATTTTGAACTTTTTCTGGGATAAATATGCTTTAAGAGATCATGTTCCATGCCTGGACAAACAGTAGGCAATTAGACAATGCTTGCTTTTCTATTTCTTTTTTTTCCCCTGTAGACTCTTTGAAGTCATTAGTCAATAGTTCTTATTCTAAAGGTTAACAAAGGAATCATAAGAAACCATAAGTTTTCACAGTCAAGGTATGCTTACTCTTTAAAAAAGCTCAAGCGTCACCGTTTTCAGGATGTCTCCTTGAACATATCTGCTTCCGCTCTCATATTTCATTTAGTATACTCTTTTCTATTTCCACAAAAAAATGCAACTTTTGTTATAATAGTCATCCCTGAAAGGTGGACACTGTTACCAGACTCTCAAGTCTCTAGCAACTGACCATGTGCTTGATACAAGGCAGAAGGCCAAACAAAAATGTTTGAATAAAAAATTTTGCTGTATTTTGCTTATAGGTTGATATTTAAACCTATAAGTTTTATCTAACTCTTAACTCTGAATTCCTCAAATTTTCTGTTACTTAATATAGTCTAAAAAAGATAAAAATGATTTGTAATTACCATTTTAATACTTCTCTATGCAAATAACTACATGGATATAGCAAAGGTAAAGTTTAATGTGACTTAAATTTTAATTGAATTGGGTTTTAACTTTGTACCCTTCAAAGCAAGTGATAACTACAGATTGATTTTAGATAGAACACACAGTAGTACCTCACAATGCTCATCTTTCAAAGGTCACATTTTGAACATGTACATGAATATTTTAATAAACAGTATTAGATAATAACCTCATGAAATACAAAGCAAACTGCCTCCTAGCCAACATGACTAAATGTATACTTAGCTTGTATTCTGTTTGGGGAACAAGGCCAGATGCTGGGGGGCATGATGCCTTCCTTCTAGTAGTTTATGGCTAACAACAATTAGTGATATTCACTAAGTGCTTGTTTTGTACTATTTATCTTCATTATCTGATATAGACATTATTATTACCTTTCCATTATAGATGAAAGGTACACAACAGCTAGAAGAGCTAGAAAAGGACACGTCCTTTTAAAACTAAATAACAATACACTGTAGCATGTGCAAGTAATGGCTTGAGCCATGGGGACAAAGAACGTTTCCACGAAGAAAAGTTGAGAAGAAAGCAGGAACAATTATAATTCAAGAGGGAACAATTTAGAATAGAGGACAGGCTCCAGAAGAGACAGAAACATGGGATGGGGCGGATGGGGGGTGCAACACAGAAGAAGGAATCTGTATGTTCAGGAAATAATGAGCAGACTTACTGTATTAAACAGAACAAAGATTCCTGTAGTTAAGTGGTTGGAAAAGAAATCTGCAAAGTGCATTTATCATCTTTCTAATGGAGTATGTTAATTCACAATTTTGTCATGTGTTTTTCTTTCCTCTCCTGAATGCCTTCTTAAACATGCTTAAATGATGATGTCCGAGACTAGTTTCTTAGTATGTGTGTGGTAGGAGAGAGGTAGGGTCAATGATGAAACACCGGTTATATGAAGATTTATCTTACCCTTCTTTTTACCTTTGTGTGTTTTAACTTTTTTCATAATAAAAGATAAAGAGGCACTTAAAAACATGCCTGCTATTAAACTGGAGTATGTATATATACATTTGTGTTTGAAACTATTTACAAATGGAAATTGTTTAGAAGTACAAAATATATGATACATACATCTTAGCTTTGGGGTTTAAAGACTCTAAAATTTAAACAAATAATCTTAGATGGCAAAGTTTTATAGATGTTCTTAGACTCTGGTCAAAAGAGTGTTTCTAAGTTACAGACATTAGCCTGTTACCTATAGCATTCTTCTTAATGTTTTGCATCTGCAAACCCCTGACACAAAATTGTAGTCTCAGGGATAAAGGAAACAGATGTCCCTATTCAGTAATAATAACTAGGATCTTCAATATGAAAATGTTATTAAAGATGATGAGTATATATGATCACAAAAAATAAGTAAAACTCATTTACTGAGTTTAATTTTTTCAGATCCTTTAAATCATTAAGTCTTCTTCAAAATACTGTTTTTCTGAATATGCCATCTGTTTTCAACTGATTGGTACACTGATTCATTCTTCCAGTCTTAATTCCAGAATCACCTGCTCTACACACCAATCAGAATCTTAGTATGTCCACGTACTCTATACATATATTCCTATGTTAGCATCCCTCAACTATGGTATAATTGTTTCCTCCATTTTTAAATTTTTTTTTATCTTTCCTATACTATTAAATGAATATATAGCAGTTGCTAAAAAATCATGAATGAACAATAATATTTTAACAAACACAAAGCACACACAGATTCCAAATTAACAATAAGCATTATTTAAAACCAGACAATATTCAAGAGAAACACCCACATATTTCTGAACCTTTATATTTATTTGTCAAAGATATTTTGGAAAATGAAGTGAAAAAAAATTCTCAGGTCCAGGGTCCACCTAAGTTTCAGTTGTAGTCTAATAGCTAATAATCTTCATTTTTGTGCCTGATGAAACCAATGTTTTAAGACTATAGACAGTTCCCAATTTACAATGGTTTGACTTTTTCAACTTTATAATTGTGCCAAAGCAATACACATTCAGTAGAAACTATACTTCCAAGTATTGAATTTTTTTCTAGGCTAGTGGTATGTAGCATGATACTCTTCCTGATGCTGATCAGTGGCCGTGAATGCAGCTATACTTTAAAGTGCTATGTCACTAAACTATGATGTTGAGAATGTTAGGTGTATTAAATGCTTTTGCAACTTTATTTTCAACTTATGATATACTTACTAAGGACATTATCTCACTGTAAATGCATAAGCACCTATACATAAAATTAAGAGCTACTTTAATAAAAATACAAATAGAGCACTCACACAATAAAGACTAATCCTTCATTTTAAAGATCGGGCTTTTATCAATAACATCAGTGAGAAAATACACTTTCATTATATACACTTATTAAAACAAAACCTAGCTAGATGTGGTGGTATATGTCTGTAATCCTAGCTACTCAGTAGGCTGAGGCAGGAGAATTTTAAGTTTAAAGCCATCTTTTGCAAATCAGTGAAACCCTATCTCCAAATAAAAAATAAAAAGGGCTGAGAATGTATCTATCTCAGTGGTAAAGCACTGAAAAAGTTCAATCTCTAGCACCACAATTAAAAAAAAAAAAAAAAAAGCCTAAGTCTATACCAAGAATGACTTAAGAAGATTACTGATGTTAAACCATGGGAGCTGGGGCTGGAGCTCTGTAGCAGAGCACTTGCCTAACATGTGTGAAGCACCAGGTTCAATCCCTAGGACCACATAAAAATAAATAAAATAAAGCCATGCTGTCCATCTATAACTACAAAAATTAAAAAAAAAATTAAAAAATGCACAGTAGGAAAGGAAATAAGGAAATATTTATAAAAACAACTTTTATCTCATACTGGCACTCTATTTTAGGAATTCTTATTTAATAGGTGAATAGAAATATGGATATCATATTTATAGTATTCCCACTGCTAGTACTTTGAATTTGAAATAAGAAGGCAGGTGTTGTATGGCTGCTTTCCTAGCTTCCTACAAATTCACATTAATCTTGGTTTGATTCTCCCCAAAGAAATAAATGCTCATTTTTCACGTTGCTGACCAAAATAAGCTGACTTTGAAAAGAAAAAAGGAATTCTCTACGGCAAACAGATCTTTCTGTATAGTTTTTTTGCCAACTGTACTAAAATAATAATCAAGGGACAGAATTTTACAACCAAAGATATTAAAGATTCAGATTCATTTTAACATAGATGTATATTATTCATGATTAAAGATATTATATCGATAGTTGATATTTTACATATGTAATTATAATTTAAAAAACAAAAATATGCAATAAGTTACCTAATATATCATAAAATCAAAGTACATTTTATACTTTTCAATACCTTTGTTTCTAAAAATGCCACATTTTCCTCATAGGAAATGTAGTTTATAGGAATAATACTGTAAAAACTTAATCCTATGTCTGAACATCAAAAAAATCAAGTTGTGAAAAACAGTGTCATAAAAGCAAAGGTAAAGATTTCTAATGATCTCTATAATCATTTATAAAATAGTAGTTATGACACTGGCTCTTCTTTGCATAAACATGTATTCATGCCGGTTTCTTTTCTTTCTTTCTTTTTTTAAACAAGATATCACTATAGGAGTAAGTTTCCTAAAACTATCCTTAAAAAACAACAAAGAATGAACAACTTTCCTTAAGTACGCAGAGCTCTTCGATCTTTTTAGTAGTGGAGGATAGTGCAATGATTAAGGTCAATGGCCTCTAGACTAGTTCTGAAAGTACTTTCTCCTAGCTGTATGACTTTGGCTATGCTTACTTTGTGCTTTAGTTTCCTATCTGTAAAAAGGGAGATTATTTTACTGTTATTGATAGCCAAATTAATCTATTCTCTAACCAGTAAAGGTGTTTTGAGGTTGTTAGAGGGGGAAGGGAGTACTAGAATTGCTGGATGGAAAACAAGTCACATTTCGCATTTTGATGTGTGCTCTAG